AGGACTTGTTTATGTCAGCCAACACATTAACTCCTCATCACACTTTCCTGTAATCTGTAAATTAGATAAACACATCAGCTATGCCTTCATCGGTCATTGATTGAAATGTTGACCAGCACAAGGCCAAGGGCAGAGGTACCAGAGTAATCCTTCTGTGTTTACATTGGTCTATTAACCTCTATGCTTTTAGATCAGTCTTTGAATGAGTTCTCAATCTGCCTAGCATCGAATCCAGATGTCTCCAGATCCCCTCAGAATAATTTACATTTTAAAAATAATTTACCTTTTTTTTTTAGAATAATGTAGTTTATAAAGTTTATAAAGTGCTATCAGCAAATCAATTCCTCTCAAGTGCACTATGTGACTGGAATCCTGTGCTAGGCATTATGAGAAGCCCAAAGTTCTGCTAAAGTTTCTGCCCTTAATTCAAATCAATTCAATTAAATAAATATTATTAAGTACACTAGGCGTCAGGTTCTGTGCTAAGTGCTAGAGATACAAAAAGAGGCAAAAGACAGTCCCTGCCCTCAAAGAGCTTGCAATCTAATGGGAAAGACAACATGCAAACAAATACACTCCACCAAGCTGTCTCTCAATAAGGACAAACACAGGAATTGTCAAAAATAACTCTGGTATTTTTCGACCTATGGAGTAATCAGTCATCCTAGCTATATACAAAGCAAGCTATATGAAGAATAAAAAGGAAATAATTAGAAGATAGGAAACGCTGGAATTAAGAGTGTAGGGGAGGCTTCCTGTAGGAGGTAGGATTTTAGTTGGGTCTTGAAGGAAGCCAAGGAGGTCGGTAGTTGGAGTGAGGAAGGAGAGTGTTCCAGGCATGTAGGAAGGATGCCAGAGAAAATGCCCAGAGCCGAGAGATGGAGGGTATTATTTATGGAAGAGACAGGAAGCCAGTCTTACTGGATCAAAGAGTATGTGTCAGGGAGGAAGATGTAAGACTGGAAAGGGAGGAAGAAGCAGGTTATAAAGGGCTTTGAATGCCAAGAGAGGATTTCGTATTTGTTCACCATTTTAGGAGACAAGACACATGCATCATCTCATTGAAGCCCAATTGCACCCCTAGGAGGATTTGGCAAGTGATGGTATCCCCTGTTTTATAAGAAGAACCAGGTTCAGAGAGTTGAAGTGATTTCAAATGGTGACTGAGTTATGGGACCTGGATGAGAACCCAGTTGTTCTAGATTCCAAGTCCAGCCTACTTCTGACTTACCCCGCCTACCTGAGTCTGACAATGGTTATTCTCTTTGCTAAGAAGCCATCCAGAATCAGTAAATATTTTTAGGATGCTCCACTTTCTTGATCACAAATAGGGCTATATATACTCCTATATAGTACACACATACACACACACATATACACATGCACACATGTTCCTATATAGCAATTCCTTTGCTCCCTTTGCAACCTTGGAAGCTGCAGTAGTGAATGCATTATTGTCCCCATTTTGTGGATGAGAAACTGAGGCACAGAAAGGTTCTGTGATTAGCCCAAGGCTGCACAGCAAGGAGGCATTAGAAGGAGTCAAGCTCATCTGTTTTATAGCCAGCAGGACAGAGAGCTGGGGCCCTTCATAAATGTACCATTCTAGGATAAACAGACCTTTGGAGAAGCTAGACAGAGTAGGCTGGATCATAGATTTAGAGCTGAAGCAATTTTAAAGACCATGTCTTGTCCCCTCATTTTAAATGTGTGGAAACTGAGGCATAGCAAAGTGACTTGCTTAGGTGACTTGCCCAGGGTCCCACAGTTAGTAAGTGCCTAAGACAAGATTTGAACCCAAGACTTCCTGACTCCAAGTCCAGGACCCTATCCACTCTACCATACTATCTCTCAATAGGGACAAATATTACAGTCATCAACATGACTTTGGGATTATCCTGTCTATGGATTTATCAGTCATTCTAGCCATTTCTGCCTCTCTGTCTTTCTTCCCCATCCAAGGAAGGGGGCCTGGTCTGACTGTAACAATGTTTGGATGGTAACTCACATTTATAGAGAGCTTTAAGGATCACCGGTTAATAGCTACCACAGAAAAGACCTGAGAGTTTGAGGGGACAGCAAGCTTAAGATGAACCATCCTGGTCAACTCAAAGTGAAGCAGGGGGCATCACTTTCACCCCACGGAGACCTGCAGGCAAAGGATGGATGGGTGATCACTTGTCAGTTACACTATAAATGGAACTCTATTCAGATACTAATTGGACTAGATCAAGAACTCTTAACCTGGGGTGCCTGAGGAGGTTTCCAGGGGCTCAGGAACGAGATGGGAAAAGAAAATGACATCCTTCCCACTACTTCCCACCACTAACCTCTAACTAAAATTTGACATTTTCTTCATTGGTTTAAAATGATGATTCTAAAAGGGGTCCTTACAGAGGCCACCCCAGACTGCCCAAGGGACCAATGAAACAAAAAGGTTAAGAATCTCTGGGCTCAACGGTTGCTGAGGTCCCCATGCCCCTGGACAGTTTATGCCTCTAGGATCTAGGATAATTATTAGTCAGAATGTTTGCTAAAGTGGCTGACTACCACAGACAGGCTCTCTGCTAGGAGCCGCAGCCAGCACAGTGCCAGAAAAGATGGCAAACACTTTAAAAAGATTTGTCAGGTGATTGATAATGGCTATAGTTTAAATATTCAGCAAGGCAATCACGCAGTCTTCTGGCATGGAAAGCTTCTTTGTGACAGCCAGAATCTCCCCCAGGGACCCACAGGCTGCTATCATCGCAAGGGAGAGAGTCATGGGTCTTAAGGAGCCCCTCCCTGCTCAAGACCTCTCTGCGGTGTAGCCAGTCCTGGGCTCCCAGCGACCGTGCCAATTGTGGGCAAGTTTCAGTGTGTGCTCCCAAGCTAGAGACTGGCAATTGTGGTCTGGCCACAGCCCATGTGCCTGCTGTCCAAGGATTAGCCCAGCCAAGTGTGAAAAGGGACTCATCACTCCATCGGAGGCAAGGAAAGAACTTTTCAACCACAAAACCTCTAAAATCCTTATACTAAGTCATACCTGGGTAAGGCCTATGACAGGGAGGGAAGACCCAGGACACAATATAGAAACTGTGGCCTGTTGGACTGGAGGACGTTGCTCAGAGGTGAACCCAATGAACCAATTTAGCCTGGGTAGGGGAGAGCTCCACAAGAACATTAGTGCACAAAACTAATTAAATAATAATTACATTTGTCATCTTAGAGCCATTCCTGACCAAAGAGAGATACCAAGTCTGGGGTCTTCGCCTCAACTGTCCTTACAGAATCAATTCATTCAATTCGGTTCAATTGTATTGGACTCAATTCAATTAGACAGCTATTTATTAAATGCCTACTATGTGCCGTGCATTATGCCAGTAGGCCAATCAATCAGCAAGCATTTATTAAGTATTTACTACATATTAAGCAGTATGTTAGATGCTGAAGACCAAAACAGTCCCTGCCTTCAAGAAGTTTACATTTTAGTCCTGGGGGGCTGGAGGGTTTGGGAGACCGTAAGCATACAATGAAACAAAGAAACAACCGAACATACAAAATAAATAAAAATTTGTATGTGTGTGTAGGATGGAGTTGTAGGGAGTTGATAGTCATAATAATAGCTAGCATCTATATCACATTTTAAGGTTTGCAAAGTGCTTTACAAATATTCATTTGAATCTCACAACAACCCTGGAAGGTAGGCACTATTACTATCCTGATTGTGCAAATGAAGAAACTGAGGCATGCAGAGGTTAAGTGATTTGTCCAAGGTCACACACAGAGTGTCTGAGGTCGGATTAGAATTCAGCTCTTCCTGACTCTGGATTCGGTGCTCTACCCACTATGCCATCTAGGGTTAGAATTAACAAGTAGAGAAATCAGGAAAAGCCTGATGTGGGAGGTGGTATTTGAAGAGCTCTAGGGCTTCCAAGAGTGGTACTAGATGGCACCATAGTGAATAGGGGGCCAGGCCTGGAGTCAGGAAGGTGAGCCTTCCTGAGTTCAAATCTGGTCACAGACACTTACTGGCTGTGTGACCCTGTTTGCCTCAGTCTCCTGTCTGGAATGTGAACTGGAGAAGGAAATGGTAAACCACTCCAGTATCTTTGCCAAGAAAACCCCAAATGGGGTCACAAAGAGTTGGGCATGACTGAAACTACTGACCAGTCACAAAGGGCTTCCAAGACGTAGAGGTGTGGGAGAGTCAAACCTCAAGTTTATGAAGGAGATCAATGAGAAATAAGCCTGGGGAAGAGGCTGGAGCCAAATGGTAGATAGTTTTAAATTCTAACCAAAGGGTTTTGCATTTTATCCTAGACAAACTCAGGAGCTCCGGGAATGCTTTGGTCATAGCTATGCTTTTAGAAATTTGCCTTGGCAGCTGAGTGGTGGATAAATTGAAGCAGGGGATGGGGGTGGGGTGGGGGGAGAGATTTGAGGCAGTGATACCACTTAGGTGGCTACTGCAATAATCCAGGCAGGAGGTGAGCAGGGCCTGAATTCGGGTTGTGGTTGGGTAGGTACAGAGAAAGGGTTGAATGTGAGACATTTTGTAGAGGAAAAATGAACAGAACTCAGCAAATGATTTTTACTAAAATGTGAGCTCCTTGAGGGCTGGGTCTGTGTTTTTACCTTTCTTTGTATACCCAGCACTCAGCACAATGGTTGGCGTGTAGTAAGTACTTAATAATACTTGTTGATTGACTGATTGACCAGTCATGAGGAGAGTAAAGCATTAAGGGAAACTCTAAGGCTTCAGGTCTGTGTGCCTGGAAGGATGGTGGTGCCCTTGAGAGAAACAGAGAAGTCTTGAGAAGTATGGCATTGAGGGTGGAGGGTAGAGTATGAGCCTTGCTTTGGCCATGCTGAGCTGGAGATGCCAAGGGTCCACCACCACTTACCACACTGATGTTTTCTTGTCTTCCTGTCCCCAGACACTGTGGTCACCGCTATTCTTTTTTTCAGTTATTTCAGCCACTAGGTGTTAGAAACTCTTTCTGAAGAAGAATGAAAAGATGGAAAACTGTTTTGGCTCCCTGGAGACAAACAACTTCCGCCTTTTTACTCCTGAATCTCTGGCCACCATTGAAAGGCTGATCGAGGAGGAGAAACATATGAACAATGTGAAGGAGAAGGAACGAGAGGAGGAGGAAAAGAAAGAATCAAAGGCCGGAGCTGAGAAGCCCCGACCCCAACTAGACCTGAAGGCCTACAACCAGCTGCCCAAGTTCTATGGCGAGCTTCCCCCAGAATTAGTGGGGGAGCCTCTGGAGGACCTGGACCCCTTTTACAGAAATTACAAGGTAAGAGCCAAGACTCTACAGCCTGACTCAGGTGGTGGTTTTGTCCTTGTACCGATACAGCCCGCCTCCTGGACTAGGGGACGAAAGGGTCTGGCCACAGGCCGCTTGGTCCCCGTTACAAAGCTTTTGACCCCCTTTCCTGTGACCCAAAGCTTTTGTGATAGAGGTGACATACCATTCAGTCTTCAAAAGCCACACAAAGTCAATCCAGGGGTGCTTTTCCCTCTTTATTTTACTTATGGGGAATTCTAGTGGCTCATTTTGCTAACTAACCCCCAGGAACGAAACAGGAAGTAGCCAGGTTAGAGTTTTGGCCCATAGTCCCCCAGGCCATCTTTGTAAACTTGAGGGTTTGGCTGCAGTAATCAAGGGTCCAGGTCACAAATGAGATTAGATCCTGAGCCTAAAGACAGTCAGAGTTGGTGGCCTTCAATGTCATATAACTCACCCTGTCCCTCCCTACTTGGTTTTGGTCTCCTACCTTCATGGGATGGTTGATCTGTGGATGGAGATGGGAGGAAGGAACTCAGACGTTACATCTCTGTAAGCATAGTTACCTTTCTAAGGGGGCATGACCAAAAGTTTTGTGCTATAACCCTATTGTTTTTCATTCATTAAAATGGTCCCAACTGTAGTCAATTGCAGAGGGTTCTCATCTCCTGGGACACTGTCTATGTAGCGTACCCTTGATGAATCAGGCCCAGTACGTCTTTTGGTGCTGAGACAGATTCTGAGTACTTGCTGCCAGTTGGAGGAGGGGAGAGCTAAGCCAGGGTGGGAGCAACAGGAAAGGATTAGGGGGACCAGAGAGGAAGAGAAGAGGCTTTGAGGAACGTGACTCATAGCATAATACCTGGTTGTCCTCTGTACCTATACATTCTTATTTTCATAATGGAACTAAAGGACAGTGCTGAAGCCAGGCCTGGGTGTGAAAAAACTCATCTTCAACCTGAGCTGGACATTTCATTTTTCACTATTCTTACCCGTGATTTTATCATTGCTTAGACGATGATTTCATCAGAGTGGGGGTATCCCAGCATGGAAACTCCATCCACCAATGCAGATTGGCACCTGATCTTAGACGGTTGCCTGGGGCACTGAGAAGTGATTTGTCTAGGGTCTCACATTATGTGTCAGAGGCAGGACTCTAATGCAGGGTTTTCTAACACCAAGACTGGCCTTCTATCTTGATGCCACACTGTCCAGGCATCACTTTACCTCATTGAAACTCTTGATTTCTGTGGTCGCTGGTTTAAATGGATAATTTAAATAGATAATTAAATAGGTAAAGCTCATGGCCCACCACTGGGGCCCCTGGGAGCAGTGTGGGACGTGGTGCCTTTCTAGCCAGTCATCAGAAGGGAATTGGCTTCCCTGGGCAGGAGGATCTGGGCACTGTCTACTCTGCCTTCAGCACTGGGATGGATGAATCGGTAAATAAGTTCTCGTTTTGCAGGTCTGCTGGGTAGGTGTGATTTTGTATTTTGTTTTAACAGACATTTATAGTCTTAAACAAAGGACGGACAATCTTCCGGTTCAGTGCAACCCGGGCTTTGGGGCTCCTCAGTCCTTTCCATCCCCTCAGGAGAACCGCCATCAAAGTCTCAGTCCACTCATATCCTTTCTCATGGATATTTTTTCCCTTTAAAGGAAGTCAAGTGTGTCTGGCTCTTGGTGCCACATGTATCTCTGCATACTCTTGAAATGGAACATTGAGCTGGCCTCAGAAACAAAACAATTCTGCAATGTTTTTAAAAGAGAAGAATTAAAAAGGGACAAATGCTGATTCTACTGATCTGCAGCAAAGGGAGTTGCCATAACAGGAATTCCCCACATTAATGAAATCGCAGGTGCAGTCTAAAAACCCCAAGATAGAAACAGTCCATTTAATTAATAATAGCTAGCATTTATAAAGCACCTACTGTGTGCCAGGCACTGTGCCAAGTGCTTTACAAATATTATCTCATTTGATCTTCAAAACCATTGTGGAAGATAGGTTCTATTATTATACCCATTTTATAGATAAGGAAACTGAGGCAGACAGAAGCTAATTGACTTGCCCAGGGTCATATAATTAGTGTCCGAGGCTGGATTTGAATTCAGGTCTTCCTGGCTTTGGGCCCAGTGCTCTATCCACTGAGCTCCCTAACTGCTTTTGACATATATTCCCGTTTTTTAATAACAGACACTCACCTAGTTTGCAAGAATAATTATTCACAAAGGAAGCTTCCAAATGGCACAGTAGGGAGTCCTTCCCCATCCACTTCTCTGGTTTTCCCAGTAACAGCTTCAGACCAATGCCCTAATAAAAATTCTGCTTGGGGGTAGGGCATGATGGTCAAATACCAAAACTAAATGGTCACTTGATGTTCCAAGGGGATTAATTCATCTTAAATTTGACTGTTCCCTACTTACTTAGTTCATGGGTTTCTCCTAGCACTTCAAGAGAATATTTGCTTAGTATTTATTAATCCAAGACCTCAGTGTCTCCATCTATAAAATGGGGATGATAATGGGACTTGATGTGACTCATGTGACAGCTTGTTCTAAAATCTCTGCAAACGTGAAAGTGATGTATATATATGTATATATGTCACTATTACTGTTATTGTTGTTCTTTTTTTATTTTCAATATTAGTAAGGTAAATACTTCTCTACATCGGGCAAATGGCCTTAAGAAATTCTTCCCCTCATTTTTGCTTTTGAGTGCCTGTTTCCTGACAGCAGAGTGACTGCACCTGCATTCTGATATCTAGTCCCATCTCCTTGGAGTGTGGGCATGCTGAGGAAGGCTGCCCTTCTGGCCAAACAAGTGTCCAGTGAAGAGAATTTCAGGCAGCATATCTAAAGGAAGGCTTCCAGGCCCTCTCTCCTTCCCAACACAACTGTTGGAGTTGTCCATTGGATCATAAACAAGCACATTTGGAGAAGAGCCTCCAGGAAGTGGGCTTCCTGCCCCCACTGAGATCAGTCACATGTTCTCCTTAACAAATCTTCCTCACCCTGTTCAGTTTCTTCATCATGATGACTATTGTGGTCAACTGTGTATTCATGACCCAAAGTGAAACTCCATCGACTATTGAGTAAGTCATTTCCCTCCTTGGGCAGCAGCAGTTTTTGTTTTCCTCTTATCTCCCCCTCCTCCACTCCCACTCCCCTTTCCTCACCCACTTCTCTGCCTGATATTCTTTGGCTTTGCAAGTTTCTTGTCAATAATATAAATGAAGATTCTGGAAGACCCAGGTTCAAGTCATTCCTCTGACACTCATTAGCTGTGTGAACAGTGATGTTACATAAACAACTTTTCTTAGGCTCCAGAGTAATGATTATCTTTGGATGGTGGGTGGGAGTCTAGACCTGTGAGTTCATCTGTGTAGGGAAGTCCCAGTGAGGGGGCTCTTTACCAAGGCAGAGCAGTACCCATGCTGTACTTTATATTCTTAGGGACACGTTCAGGGTAGCACAGCCAGTATATGTCAAAGGCAAGACTTGAACCCAGGTCTTCCTGACTCTTGGGGTCTGTCCCTAGGATCAAATGAGTTACTCTATTTAAAGTGCTTTGCAAACCTTAAAGTGCTGTATAAATGTTAGCTATTATTAATATTACACACTGCTTCTCATAATTATAATTGACTATAGATATGATAAAATGTTTGTCCAAGTGTTTCCTTCTCTGTAAACTTCAAGAAGTAAATATATGAACAGTTTTCAGTCTACCTATGCCTGCTTGCTTAGACCAAGCAATGGCATATTTCTCTTCTTTTAGAAAACCACGACTCTCTCTGAGACCCCCAACATCTGTGGGACAAAACCAAAGTCAACCATTGCTGGAACTAATCTAGAAGATAACTTCATAGCCACATATAATAAATATTTGTGTATATGTGTACATGTATATATGAGTATAATGTATATACACATTATATATTCATATATATTAAATGCATAAAACCAGCCCTATATATACACATGTATATCTGTGAATATATGTGTATGTATATATATACACTTTTACATATGTTTACATATGTTTTAGAGTGACTGACAAGTTCTCAAGGTGGGTTAATTGGTGTGAAGGAGATCTGCCCACCTCTCTTCCTCACTCATTAGTAAAGGACAGACTTCCTAGTCACAGTTTCTTTTTCCATGCACATAGAGTCTATGGGGTCACAGTACCTTTCTCCCTCCAAAAACATAGATCCTTGCTTTTCCTACCTTATAGGAATGCTCTGGCAGTCAACGGAGTTAGTATATGTGAAAGGATTCTTGGAAACTCTTTGACTCACTCATTTTTTAGGATTATATTATTTAGTTTCCAATTAAATTTTAATCTATCTTTTCACTGCCCTTCATTAAATGTAATTTTATTACATCATGAACTGAAAAGGATGCATTTACTATTTCTGCCTTTTGGAATTTGATTGTGAGGATTTTATCCCCTAATACATTGGCAATTTTTGTGTAGGTGTCATCTACCACTGAGAAAAAGGTATATTCCTTTCTATCCTCAATTCAATTTTCTCCAGAGGTCTATCATATCTAACTTTTCTAAAATTCTATTTACCTCTTGAATTTCTTTCTTGTTAATTTGTGGTTAGATTTATCTAGTTCTGAGAGGGGAAGGTTGAGGTCCCCCATTAGTATGGTTTTACTGTTTGTTTCCTCCTGTAATTCATTTAACTTCTTTAGAAATTTGGATGCTCTACCATTTGGTGCATATATGTTTAGTATTGATACTACTTTGGTACCTTTCAACAAGATGTAGTTTCCTTCCTTGTCTCTTTTAATTAGATCTATTTTAGCTTTTGCTTTGTCTGAGATCAGGATTGCTACCCATGCTTTTTTATTTCATCTGAAGCATATTATATTCTGCTCTAACCTTTTAATTTTACTCTGTATGTCTCTCTCTGTTTCAAATGTGTTTCTTGTAAACAGCATATTGTAGGATTCTGGTTTTTAACCCAGTCTGCTACATGCTTTTGTTTTGTGGGAGAGTTCATACCATTCACATTCACAGTCATGATTACTGTGTATTTCCCTTCACCTTATTTTTTCCCTGTTTATTCTATCTCTATCTCCCAGTGTTTGGCTTCTGACCTCCTCCCTCAATCTGTCCTCTCTTCTACCAGCCCCCACTCATTTTCTTTTCCCTTCCCTTCCTACTTTCCTATAGAGTAACATAGATATCTCTACCCAACTGAATGTGTATATTATTCCTTCTTTGAGCCAAATCTGATGAGAGTAAGGTTCAAACAATGCTCACCCCTCTCCATTCTTTTCCTCTACTGTAATAAGTCTTTTGCACCTCTTCATGTGATATAATTTACCCCATTCTACCTCTCCCTTTCCTCTTATCCCAGTACAATCTTCTTTTTCACCTCTTAATTTTTTTATGTCAATCAAAATCTACTCATACCCACACCTTCTGTCTTTGTATACTCTTCCTAATTGCCCTAATAGAGATACAGTTCTTAAGAGTTACAAGTATCACCTTCCAATGTAGGAATGTAAACATTTTAAGCTTATTGAATAATGTTTTTTTCTTTCCTGTTTACCTTTTTACGTTTCTCTTAAGTCTTGTATTTGAACATTGAATTTTCTGTTTAGCTCTGGTCTTTTCATCAGGAAAGCTTGAAAGTCTCATACTTCACTGACTATCCGTTTTTCCCCCTGAAAGATTATGTTCAATTTTACTGGGTAGTTGATTCTTGACTCTAATCCAAGCTCCTTTGCCTTTCAGAATAGCATATTCCAAGACTTCTGGTCCTTTAATGTAGAAACTGCTGAGTTCTGTGTAATGCTGACTGTGGCTCCTTGATATTTGAAATGTTTCTTTCTGGCTGCTTACAATATTTTCTTCTTGACTTGATAATTCTGGAATTTGGCCATAATAGTCCTTGGAGTTTTCATTTTGGGATCTCTTTCAGGAGGTGATTGGTGGATTCCTTCAATTACTATTTTACCCTCTGGTTCTAGGATATCAAGGCAATTTTCCTTGATAATTTCTTGAAAGATGCTGTCCTGGCTCTTTTTTTTTTTATCATGGCTTTTAGGTAATTCAATAATTCTTAAATTACCTCTCCTGGATCTATTTTCCGGATCAGTTTTTTTTTCCAATGAGGCATTTTACATTTTTTTCCATTTTTTCATTCTTTTAATTTTGTTTGATTGATTCTTAAAGTCTCATAGAGTTATTAGCTTTCACTTCCCCAATTCTAATTTTTAAGGACTTATTTCCTTCAGTTAGCTTTTGTACCTCTTTTTCTATTTGGCAATTCTACTTTTAAAGGAGTTCTTTTTCCAAGCTGTTGATTCTTTTTTTCATGATTCTCTTGTATCAATCTCATTTCTCTTCCCAATTTGTCTTCCACCTCTCTTATTTGATTTTTAAAAACCTTTTTGAGTTCTTCCAAGGGGACTTTTCCGGGCTTGAGACCAGTTCGTATTCCTCTTTGAGGCTTTGCATACAGGCATTTTGACATTATTGTCCTCTTCTGAGATGGTGTTTTGACCTACCCTATTGCCACAGTAGCTTTCTATTTGTTTTTTTGTTTGTTTGTTTTGCTCATTTTCCAGCTTATTTTGTGACTTTTAAAGTTGAGCTCTGCTCTTGGGGTACAGGGAGCACTATCCTAAGTTTCTTGTGCTGGAAGCCAGGGGCCTAGTCATTGGCTTTCTGCCCCAAGGCCTCTGGAGCTAATGGCTTGCCCACTGTGTTGGAGCGGCCCAGCCTCTAGCTTTTTGTGCCAGGGATTCCAAGGGTAGCATTTTGCCTTCTGCCCTGGAGCTGGAGGCCTAAAAGCTGACCTGCTGTGCCACTGGCCTGCTGAGTTTGGAACACGGGGCCTCAGTTGCTGATCTGTGCTGTGGCTAAGAGCCTCCCACTGGCTTGCCTGGATACCACCTATGCTAAATTGTGCTTCCCTTTTACCCAAGTGAGAAAGACCTTTCCTGCAGTCCTTCTAAGTTATCTTGGCCTGGAAAATTGTTTCACCCCATCTTTTTGTGGATTCTGTCACTCCAGAATTCATTTAGAGGCTTGATTTAACATTGTTTTGAGGGAAACTGGGGAGAACACAGACAACTACCTGGCTTTTCTCTACCACCTTGGCTCTGCTCCCTTTGGAAACTCTTAAATTTGAAATGTAAAAAAAAAATTAACATTTAAACAAACTCTCAGAGTAAACCAAAAGAAACACCAAATATGTAACAGTCACTATACTAACAAATGAGAATGCAAAGGGAAAAAATGTGTGTGTGTGTGTGTGTGTGTGTGTGTGTGTGTGTGTGTGTGTAGTCTGCCCTCAGGGAGCTTCCATTCTACTGGGCTTATATGGCTGGGCATGGAATTAATATAATAACCCCCATTTCTGGCAGGTTGAGGTTTGCAAAGTGTTTTTCTCTCAATACCCCATATGAGGTACATAGCCTAAGTAGTACTATCCTTATTTAACAGATGAGGAAAATTGAGGTTTTAAAAGTTAAGCCATACAGCCAGTGAGTAACCGAGGCAGGAATTTGACCTCAAATCTCCTGATTCCAGGTCCAGGATGCTAACTACTACACCACATTACCTCTCTGAGACCTAGGTCATGGTTTTTCAGGTGATAACTGTAATAAAACTCACAAAAACAATCTAATTAGAGTTTTTATGATGTTTAAAGAGCCTTGGCAGTCACCCTGTGGCTAATATAGTCAGTGAAGCCTCCTTAGCACATGTTGGGCTGCAAGGATCACACTGGGCATCTCCAAGGAGGAACAAAATTGTAGCTCCCAATGGCTAGCTCAGCTTAGCTAGTGAGGCCCCAAGGATGGAGTCTCTCTTAATATTCCCAGTGAGATTCTTAAGTGATCTCTCTTCTGTCAAGGAAACCATTTTCTGTCTCTATCCCACTCTTACTTCTCTCCCTTCCTAGCTGGCTTGCTCACTAAACTTGATAGTTGGTAATGGTCTCTACCTAGAGACTTGTATGTTTCCTTATGGGAAGAAATCAGAGCCATAACTAAGGTGGAGTAGTAAGGGCTTTGGCCCTGAGCACAAAAAATTTAACATGTGCACTCTCTCTAGCAGCTTAGAAATAAC